AGTAATCACTTCTTCAAGTCAACTGATGTAGATTTTAATCACATCCACAAAATACCTTGACAGCAATACCTAGATCCGTCTTTGAGTAACTGGGAACTATAGCCTGACCAAGTTGATCAATAAAACTCACAGGTGATGTTCACAAAACTTTCCAGGAATAGACAGTAATCTTTATTTTATATAAAATGATGTGGAGAATAAAAAGGAATAGTCTTTTATTTATTGCTTATGTACAACAATACAAAGAGAGGAAAGTTACAAGCAAATCTCAGCAGCAAGGAAACTATAAAAAAGTTATCTACAAAATTTGAACACCCAAGACAGAGGTGCTGCTAGTTACTGTTTTCTAAAGGACTAGCCAGTAAGAATTTAAGAGAGAAAATATAAAGCTGTCCTTGTGCTTGTTTATGTAAAAATTGGGACAGAATCAATAGGCAATTATTAGAATTAATGAGAGTTAAATATGGTTAGATGGACAACATAAAAGTTCAGTAGGGCCTTCCCTGGTGGCGCAGAGGTTAAAGCACAGCACTAAGAAGCTAAAGCCACTTCAGCATGAGTTCAATCCCCAGCCCCAGAGGTGACCCACATGGCGTGGCAGACTGCTCCTGACCTGCCTGCTGCTCCCCTCAGCAGTGTACTTCGCCAGTCTGCCTGTTCTGTTCTCACTCTGTCTCTCTTGAATCCTCTCACCACTCCTGTACCTCTGGCCTGTACCCCAGTTCTGTATGCATAAATAAATAAATCTTAAAAAAAAAAAGTTACATACCAGCAGTACAAGCAACAAGTTTATGAAAAGATTTGTGTATCAATGGAAATAAGTCTAATAAAGAACATGGTATTTGTACAGTAGCTATGAATAAGGGAAGTAATACTTTAGAGAAAATATGGAAGGGGAAGTATTATTTCTCTTATTAAGAAACAATGAAAGATGAATAGTATCTTTAAGGAAGACATTACTAAACTGTCTACATATTTGTGATGTTTGTTAAAAGAGTTAAAACATTTTGATTGTTTTTAAAAGGTAGCATTGAGGTAACACAATACATATAATGAAGTTTATGGAGCTTAAGTGAGTTTGGAGCTTTGATATATGTGCACACCCGAATTAAGACATGCCTAGAGTACCCTTTTCACTGTAGGTAACAAGTGTTCTAATTTTTACCACTGTAGATTTATTTTGACTGTTCTTAAATCATGCAGCGTGCACTTAACTCTTGTGTCTGATTCTTTATCTCAACACAATTTTTGAGGTTTATCCATGTTAAATATCGTCAGTAGTTTATTCTTTTGTATTGCTAGGTAGTTTGCAATTGTGCATTTGTTATTGATACTTTTTTGTTATTGTCAAGAATGCTTCCATAAATAGATTTGCATGAGTTTTTGTTATAGCTATCTTCATTTATAGATATCTTCATCTTGGGTATGTGAATACCTAGAAGTGGAAAATAGATTGGGCGTATATTAAACTTTGTAACTTAGCAAGCAGTTTTCCAAAGAAGTTTATCATTTCACACTCCTACCACCAGTTCCACATTCTTTCCAACATTTGGTGTTGTCACTGTGTTTTTTTTTTTTTTCATCTTAGTCATTCTGGTGGGTGTGAAAATGGTAGTGGGGGTTTCATTTGTATTTTCTTAATGACTACTGATTTTGAGTATGTTATCATGTCCCAATTTACAAGTGTAGATATTCTTTTAGAAGTGTTCATTCAAGCCTTTTGTCTCCTTTTGCTAGGTGGTTTTTTTGTTATTGATATGTAGGAGTACTTTATTTGGGATTTAAGTTCTTTGTCAGATACTGATAGGTAGATATTCCTTCTCTTTTTCTCTCGCAGTGGACATTACCTTATTAGTGCCTTTTTATAATGATGTCTTGATGAGCAGTAGATTTTATATTTGATGAAACCAGTTTATTTTCCCTTTTCTGTTTTGTGCCTTTGTGTCCTCATTAAAAAAATAAAAACCATTGCCTACTTATGAAATTGAAGGGTTTTTGTTTATTTGTTTAATAGTTTTACTTTTTACATTTAGGCTTGTTATGATTCATGACCAATTAATTTTTGTGGTTCCTATGGAATAAGGGTCAAAGGGTTCAGGCTGTTAATTTCATGTTTCTCCAGGCCTGCCACTATTTATTGAAAATACTTTTATTTTTTACTGACTAGCCTTGATGCATTTGTTGAAGTTAATGAACTGTTATATACATGGAGTATTTCTGGACTTCCTTTTGTCTTGACCGACAATTCTTTTATTACTTTATTATTTAGTTTCTTTGGGTTTTTATTTCATCCATTCCCATTTTAATACTTGTTTCCTTTCTTTTGCTTATTTTGGTTAATTCATTCTTTTTCTTGTTTCTCAAGGTGGAAGCGTAAGTCATTGCTTTAAGGCTGTCTTTTTTTCCCCAGTATAAACTTTTAGTGCTACAGATTTCCTCTAAGTACTGTCTTTACTGCATCACGCAATTTTTATATGTGTTGTACTTTCATTTTTATTCATTTCTAAAAACTTTAATTTCCCTTTCAGTTATTTCTGAGATACATGGGTTACTTAAAAGAGTATTACTTAGTTTCCAAATATGTGACAGTTATCAAGAGATCTTTCTTTTACTTTTCTTAATTTAGTTACATTGGTGTTAGGAAACATTTTGTGTGATTTGAATTGTTTTATATTCATTGATAGTTGTGTCATAGTCCAGACTGAAGTTTATCTTGGTAAATATGTCCTGTTATTGAGTGGACTGTTCTACAAATGTTAGATAGGTGAAGTTAGTTGATGATGTTTGCATACTTTACAATCTTAATGTGAATTTAAGTGAATGCTTTTCAAATATGCTTCATATATTTCCATTGAACGTTATGGATTCATTTTTAATTTATCAGAATACCTCCTTTATCACTTCTTGTGGCAGATCTTATTTTACAAAGAAGATCAGAACATTCTCTTACATTCCTCAAATTTCTGTAAAGTGGCCTTGCCACAAAGAATGGAGTCTTTAAGTTTCCTCCACTTGAATATAGGTCATACTTGGCAGCTTGAAATCAATAATGTAGTACAAATGATGTTGAATTGCTTACTTCTTGAAAAGGCCATCCTGTTTTCACTGGTCATCTTGGAACACTTATTTTCTAGACTTGATTTCTCTGATCTCTCATCACCTATACCTACCTTACTTTTGGAAGCCAAACCAATGGAGATGCCATTGAGTTGCGGTACTCACTCAACCCATACTTAAGCCTTTCTTACTTAGGTAGGTGTCAGATACACATGTGAAAGAAACATCTTGGAAGTAAATCCTCTGTCTTCAGCTGTTGAAGTCAATACCTGTCATTTGATTCTTTCCAGATGAGGCAAGAGACATGAAAGCCAAGAATTTTGCTTTGCCTTTCTAAATTCCTGAGCTATATAGATAACTAGGATCTGTAAGCATAGCACAGTGTTTAGTGTTTTATATCACTAAGTGTTATTAGTGGCTTGTCTAAAAATAGTGATATGGTTTGAAGGAGGTAAACTTTTGACTCCCTACATATTGAAAAATGTCTTTAACTTCACTCTGAATGGCCCTATATAAAGGAATTTATAAAACTTTGAAGTTCTTTCTCTGTTGTCTTCTTGAGTCCATGTTTTGCCAGTGGAAAATGATACAGATCTGATTCTCATTCCTTTTGTTTGGGTAATGATTTTTCCCTCTTGAAGCTTTTGGAATACCAGACATTTCATGAAGTGCATTGAGGTAATATATGATTCATCTCTGCCCAAGAACTCATGTTTTTTTTTTTTTATTTGCCTCAGTGTTCTTACAATTATTCTAATTATTTTTGTTTACTCCTTTACTTTAGTGGGAATTGTTTATTTCTTGATTAATTAGAGTTGGTTTCTCCTTTGATTTATGTTTCAATTCATCAAATTTAGATGATTCTTTGCTGTTTGGTTGTTGCTGATTCAGTTTTCTTGTTAAAATACTGCTATTCTCACTGCATATAATACATATGTTAGAAACTGCTAGTATCCAGAGGTTGTTGGTAGTGCACAAAACCAGAAAAAGGTAAGGGTTTGCTTCTGGTTTTCCTAAGCATCATTAGATACTGGGGAACTTCATGATGCTTTGGGCATAAATACCTGTATTTACTTTTACCTGTAGTTTGAATGCAGCAGAAGAGGCAACCCACGTGGCTTTTAAGAGGAGTTTTAACCAATACCTTTAACCAGGTATTTCACCAAAACACAAATGCTCTCATGTTTTCTTATTTTTGCTGCTTCAGCACATGGAACATACTCACTTTTGGTAGCAGGTTTTTTTTTTTTTTTTTTTTCCCCAGGGGGAGAAACTCTGGGGATTTGATTATCACCTTTAGTTTGATGTCATCTGCCTTTTGTCTTTTAGAAATTCCTGGTCTTTTTGGTTCCTTGAGAATACACCCTTCTGTTTTTCAGGGTTCTCTAGGAGCTTGAGGACAGGTGAGACTGGAGCAGGTGCTCAGTGTACCATTGTTGTACTTGTGTTTAAAATGCACAGAAATTTCATGTGCTTTGTTTTCCTAAGCATCTGTAACTCCACTTTTTCTGCTGCCAATTCTTTGTTAGGTTACTCTTATTAGGTAAAGAACCCCGCATGTGTCTCTATCTTGGATCTCATCCTTGGATCTCAAAATACTCTTTGTGGCTTATGTTAATAAGAAATGTGAAATAGTTTAGTCTGTAGAGCTTCAGTTTTGACAAGACTACATGAAATATAGTATCAAATAAAAGTGTTGCAAGATAATTTGTATATATTTTTTGAAAGACATTGCCTATGTCCCTCACATTTTTTTCTGATAAAAAATACCGAGAATGATTTTCTCTTGACTAGTCACAATTATGACATTATAAAAGAGTCAGTTTTGAGTACATTTGCTTAGCTTTTTATTCTGAGTAACCCACCCAGAGTGCTTATTTTACCTCTAAACCAGTGATTCACTTGAGACTTTACTATATTAAAGATCTTTTTTTTTTTTTCAGAACAGCATCTCAGACATGTTGAAAAAGATGTTTTGATCCCTAAAATAATGAGAGAGAAGGCCCGAGAGAGATGTTCTGAACAAGTTCAAGGTAAGATTCAAATATTCATATAGAGATCAAATCCATATTTTATAATATGATCTGAATTTAATCCTTAGCCTCAGAGTCAAATAGTCAGTGAATTAATATGTATGAATTTCTTCTCACCCTTTTGCTGAGATACCAGTATATCAGCTTTCAGAACTTAAGAGACAATGTTCAATTCATTTACAATTTAAAAATATTCTTGTAAATTACCAGGAAAAAAACACATTTTTTCCCCAGAAGTACAGTTACATATAGAGAAAAACTTGTATGAGTATTTTGGAGAACAAGTTATTGTGGTGATTTGAGAAAGAACATCAGATAAAACATACTCCTATTTTCATCTGTAAACACACACACACACACACGCATACACACACACATATGTGTGTGTGTGTGTGTATATATATATATGTATATATTCTTAGGTGATTTTCTTTGCTGTCACTATCTGTTGCTGAATTTTTAAATAGAATTCCAATGGTACTTGTACTGAATCTGGTGTATTTTTTATATTTTTCTATGTTTCTAAATGGAGGGTGTTTAGGTAAAGGTAGGTCCTAGGCACCTGCCTATATATATTTTCTTTGGAAAGTATTTTATAATGTGAACATGCCTGTATTCTGTAAGTCTATAGATATATTGTTGAATATTGTAACATGATAGTGAAAAATGTAGACAGAGAAATGACAGGTAAAAATGATGCCCAGAGTGATGGGTAATTAGAAAAGGAGATGGCAGTTTTACTGAAAGAAATAACTTTTTAAAAAGATACTTAAAATCTGGAATATCCATCTAAAAGAAAGAGTGACACAATTTCACTGTCTTAGACATTTTCCCTGGCCCTCCTTCTTTGCTTTCTCATGCGGTCTTCTTCATAGAGGGACCAGTGTTTCTTAGTGAGGAGGATGGACTGTGGTTCCACAAGTTTCTCTGGAGAGGATTCAGGCTATGTCAGCTGCAGTTTGAGACCATGTCAGTGATATTTTAATGCCAGGAACATTTTTGTCCATCTGATGTTGTCTCCTTAGCCACCCTTTGCAGTTGATGAATGGAGGCAATAAAGAGTAGTTCCCTAGACCCGACATTGTGTGATGGTTATTTCTGTTTTCTTAAATGACTGCTATGACCTATTTCAGTTTTAAATCCATCAACAAATTAGATTTAAATTAAATCAATCCATAAATAAATGTATTCATAAATTATCGGTAATTTATTAATTTTATTCCTTTCACTGTAAATTATTTAATGAGAGTACCTTTCCTCTAATGCCACTCCCACGTGTCTGGAGAAATTAACCCAGTGATACCTGCAGGCTTAGTTTAGTGCACACCTGGCACTGGCAGGTGTCATGTTGGTAGCCTCGGGAGATAATCTACCTTTAAAACTATAGCCTGATTCAGGTGAGGGGGAATAGAACTTTAAAATGAACAATGAAGTTAACTTAAACTACTTGGAAAAATACTTGTTACTGAAATATTGGTCTAAAGCTAAAAATATGAGTTTTATTTATGCTCTTTTGTAATCAACTGTTGAGATATCTAGAATGAAAGAAATTTAGTTCACTCAATTATAAATTAAGTTTTTACTCATATGATTCAGAGGAAAATGCAGAATGATTTATATAGATTTGTGTTTCAGAACTGCCTTTGCTTACTCTTAGTGAAACCTGGTTTTGGTTTTTGAGTTGTAGGAAATATAGAATGACTTTAAAATATTTATTTGGATGTTTTGTACAGCTAGTACTTTGTAATGGTACAGAAAATAAAATGTTTTATTTTCACTTTTAATCAAAAGTTAAGTTTAGGATGTTAACATGGTTAAGCTTTTGTCTTATTAACATAACTTAAAATCTTAGGAAGACTGAAAGCATCTTAAAATTTGAGATCCATTTCAGTGCATCTGTTCTTACTAGAACATGTTATAATGATTGATTTTTAAATATTTGAATTTTTCTAGAGATAATCATATATTGATTTTTTTTTTTTTTAGGCCAGATGGTCCTAAGCAGTGTCTTAGAATCTGAGATTGATTATTTTATAAAAGTATAATCTTGTATTCTTCTTTTTAACCATGTGAACTAGGAAAGAACTTAATGTTGGTATTGCTCAAGAACAGCTATCTTTGAACTGAATAATAAGGTGTCAGTTGGACACATCTATTATAGTTTATTTACTATTTATGGTCTTTCCTTTATTAAGTAATTATAGGATATTATCTAAAAGCATTATATATGCTAATTATGTAGTTCCTTGATAAAGATATCAGACTTTTAATAAGCTCTCTTGACTTTCTGCTAAGTGCCTGAAACATGATTGTGCAGGAAAGCTTTTCTGTTTGATTTTTATTTCATGTCATTTCAACCCAGCTGATCATAAGAATTGGGTCAGACTGCCAGCAACTTAGGTTTGTGAAGGTAGTGGAACAGCTTTTCCAGGGACAAAGAGAAATGAAATCACTTTCAGTGAAGAAAGATGCCTCATTATAGTCACCAACAGCAGTTATTGACAGCTACACTTCCTATTAGCAAGGAGCATTTAACTAAGAGTTTGGCTGTTGGATCTTTGGACTTGATCTAATTTGCTAGCATTAATTAGTTTCTTTTGAGCACAGACACTTGGTGCTCACAGATATAGATTTGGAGGGCTAATTAGGATAGAAAATTGAACAGAATGGGGTAAGGCATTAACCTTCAACCATTACCAGCTGGGACACTGATAAAGACCACAGAGTCCAAATGCTCCCTATTGATGTGAAGAGTACCCTAATGAATATCAATTTCAACCGGGTTGCTATATTCTTACTCGTTCCCTCTTCAGTATAAATTTTAGCCAGCTTCCACGATACCTTCATCATTAATATATATACACTATATATATCAGCGTATCACTATACATTGATTTAGTCTGACTTGCAGGTTTCACCTTATGCTTGCACACAGTTAAAATTTGTCTAAATTTAAACCACATATACCCTATGTTCTAAGATCTAAAATTTATCTAAAATTACATTCTAATATGGCTTTAGTCTAATTCTACAGTGAATTTTTATAAAATCACAGTAATTTCATCATTTCCATATTATTAAAATTATAATCTGAAGCAACCTTAGTTTTAGATGGCAGTTATGTGATGTTTGTGTTAAACTCATGTTAAATTGAATCTTTACCTTTATGAAGTAGATACATTACTGTTTCTTTTTGAAGAGAAAAATAGTATTCAGTACCTTTTTTTGGGGAAAAATAGTATTCAGTACCTTTTTTTGGGGAACTTAATTGTGATTTGATGAGTGAAGGTAGATTGACTTAGAGGTAAGATACAGAATTGAGAAGCCTGATCTTATTCTATAAACGTTGACAACATTATAAACTGTTGATAGAACATACCACAAAACATACTGAACAACTGATTTAAGTAGAAAATTTCAGCTTCATACATAGTTTTCTTTATTTGCTGGTGACAACATTGGCATTGAGTAGAATTGATAAAATAAATAGCCAAACTAAACTGGTTTACATTACACAGTGAATTTTGGGTGCATTGGGAATGCAACTGAAGGAAAATTTTGGAATGGCCCATCTCGCTCTGTCCCCTCCCACTCTCCTTCCAAAGCCAAAACAAATTTTCCCCTCATCTCCCAAAGCCAAAACAGAAATCCTCTTCTACCAAGTATGATGGTGGAATCATCATTCTTTCTCGATGTGGGAGTTACAACTTGAAGTGTTTAAGGAAGATGGTTCCTTGACCTTGGAGGTTGCTTCCCACTGTGTGACCTTCTCCATGTGTTTCACTCTGCTGACTTAATGATTTCTATTTTCTATATAATATTTGTAAAAGCACATTCAACAGTTACAAACTTCTCATGTGGAAATAGAATATCTACAAGAGGAAAAGTCAATTGCTATTTATATTTCTTTGCTTTTTTAGATTGCACATTTGGAATTTATATAAAATCTCTGCTTACCATGAAATTACTTTAAAAATTATAAGTTTTTTTTTTTTTTTTAATTTGTGCTATGGCAGATCAAGATAAAAAAAGTACTTGTCATCAGCGAGGACCTGGCACTTTAACTTTAACCTAGCTGTGTTGTTTCTGTTCACCGACTTCCTTCATCCCTTGGGCTTTTTTTTGCCTTGTCTTAATGTTCTTTTATATTATTGTCTTTGGTGAAAGTTTAGTTTTGAAGGAATTACATGTAGTATAAAGAAACACATTTCTTTGAAATACTGCAAAAACGTAGTTAAATTATATAGGAGCTTGATAAAATGCCTGTCCTGAACACATCACATACAACTAAAGTATTTTTTTTTATTATAATAGTTTATTTTTACATCATTTTGTGCTTTTTTCCATCTCAGCTACAATCCCTGTGAACTTCCCATCACCAATTCTGAAGTATGTTTTGAAATTGCAAAAAGACAATCAAATTAAGAATACTTAAAATAGAGGGCCTCCCTGGTGGTGCATGGGGTTAAAGCTCAGTATTATGAAGCTATCGGAGGCCACTGCCACACAGGTTTGTTCTCCGGCCAGGGAGGTGACCCACGTGGTGTGGCAGACCTCTCCTGACCTGCCTGCTGTTCCCCTCAGCAGTGTATTTCAGTACATCCTCTTGTTCTGCTCTGCACTCTGTCTCTGGTGAAACCTCTCAGCCCCTGCACTTCTGGCATGTACCTCAGTTCTTGTATGCATTAATAAATAAATTTTTAAAAAATACTTAATATTTTTAGGAGTTTTGAAGGCAGGCAGAAACTGTCAAAATATTGTTAAAATAAATTAGAAGGCTACAGACTGTAAGTGATCAAAGTAAACTGTCTTTTATTCACTGTGTTACAACAACCTGCCAAAAACTTTTTGTTGTTTGAGTTGCGCCATGGTTACTACATGTAGTTCTGTATTTAGCTAGTTGACCAATGATGACTAACACTGAAGTGGGGATTCAACATATTGTAGACTTTTGGATATATTAGGAGGATAATATGTAAAATTATGAAATATGATAAATA